CCAGTGGTTGGGGATAATATTTCTGAGACTACACTAAGAAACGGACTGAACCGGATAACGATGCTTCGAGCAAAAAAATATCAACGATCCATTTCATTGAACCATTTGTTGAATAGCATAAGTTCGGGTGCTAATAAGTACAGCCAATTTCTGGTACCAACATGTCACACAAAAGACGGGGTAGGACAGAGAGATCGTGACGGATAGTAAGTACCAGAGGAGAGCGGCTTGAATTTAGTATTCCCACGTTGCTTTCTTTGCTTCCAACTGCCAATACTAACCTTTCATATACTCAAATTCTCAGCTATCTCTCATCAGGGCTTGAATGGTATTCAAAAATACGGCGGCACAAAGACTTTCATTTATTTTATAAAGCTAGTGCTTCTGGCGGCTGGCCACTGCTGGGTTGTATGTAGCCCTAGATAGTTGGGGTGAAATATACAAGGTAAAAATGTCTCTGGTATAACAAAGTCGCAAACGGCATGGGGAGAACATGACCAAGATCCTGCCATCAATAGAGGGAATGAAGGGGATGTTGATCCATGAAGTCAGGACAATACGGAATAAAATACATTTCAGTGTCCTGGGCGCCCGGCCATCTTCTGAAAAGCATTGACTCCATTACCATTGCATGTGACGACAGGACCACACTCCAGGAGGAATTTGAATATTAAGTCGTGCGTGTCAATGTCACGATTCTTGCTTCATCTGCTCCGGAGCCGGTCTGACTCTGAGGACCTCCGACTTTAGAGGAAGCAATGAACCAACGAATACTACCAAGGACTGAAAGGGCGAAGATCCGATGGGTTGTTGACATTCTTTGATGTATGCTCATGAGTAATAACTGATGATGAATATCAACTTTCGTAGACGGGTACGACGGCAGTGGAAAGGTCAACTTCGGAGGTACCTACATTAATTGCAAGATCGCTTGAGGTTCTGATATCTTCCAAATCAGGAGAGTAAGTTCTCGAAAACCCCGACTGAATCATGTAACGAAGCTCCACGAAGTTCGAAATCCCCTGCCAGTCCAAGGCCTGCCTGTAGTACTACCAGTTACGAACGTGTGTGCAAGGAGTCCGAGTCGATTGGGCAGTGAGCACCCTCGCTGGTACCTCCAAGGCCTTCTCTTTTCAACTCCAGGTACATGCAACTCTATTGCAGTACCTACTCTCGTAAGGGACATGCCTGCCTAGGTTGATGTACTCTTTAGTCACCGTCGAAGCCGTGGCGCGGTAGCAAAGTGGTGGTGTAGAAGAAGCTTGGCTGTGTATGTAAAGATTTTATTTGAACACAGCACGAACTAAAATTATCTGAAGCCAAAGCTCCGAACATTGACATCTTGAATATAAATATCAACAACCATTCGAGCGCTGACCATTCAAACTCGAAAGCAGCAGGCAACATTATAAAATCGCGCAAGGCAGCTCCTTCCGGTCTCTCCTATTACACAGCTTCCAAGCACTATTTCGGTGAAATGCATAATACGCCTGTACGCTCTGTATGCTTGCTGGAGAAGATTTCGTTGAACTGATCATTAGCGAATTTAGAGCTTCGGGAGTGCCAAAACATAAGAAATATCATGTGGCTAATCCTACGTGCATCATAAACCCCGAGTCCCATGGAAAATTCATTCTGGGATTATTCGAATGATCCAGAAGTTGACAAGATATGTCTGCCTATATTCTAAATGGAGTCGATGAAGACGGAATCCAATTTCTATCCTGCATTATTGGAGTAGGTCATTCAGTAGTAGTAAATTACGATGGACATAGCCATTTTAGTAATGCTCAAGCAGGTATAAAAGGTTGCCTCAGAATCTACACTGGCTCCTCAGGTCACTTCTAGTAAACCTCTCGCAGTGTTCTAACAGCCTCCGAAAAAAAACAGAACCATGCGTTTCATTTCTCTCAGTGTTTCGACCGTCTTCGCGGCCATCATGCTGATCTCCTCATCGACCAATGTCGCTGCAGATATCATTGCGTGGAGTGGAGTCGATTGTGACGGCGATGAAGGTGCTAACGTTGCCTGCGACGGTTCATGCCACTCCTTTGAAGGACGGCACTCTTTTGAGGTTGGTTAACTCTGCTTCGAGTCCCAAGTTGCATTCCCTAATAATCGATATACTGCACTAGGTCGTTGCCAGCGGTACCCACTGTGTCACATTTTTCGAAGGAGATGGATGCACCGGCGAACCCTTCTTGTTCTCTGGAGAAGGGGGTTCAGAGTGTATTCATGTCGACACGGGGACGCCTATTGGATCTTTCAGTTGCTCCGCCAACAATGTCTGTGTCGACAGGTCCGCTACTAGCAACAGCACCTTGGCTGCTCGTGGCAATACTGCTGTTTAATTTCAATTTGAAGAGGTAAGCAGATATATTCCATTAGCACAATATTTTGCTTATCCGATTATAGATCCAAGCAGAGTCAATAACCTTCCGTAAATTTCAGTTCTCTAACGAAGTAGTTCATAAGCACCATTGTACGAGTATGTAGTTGCAGTGATGGATTCTGAGCAGTGGAATTGCGATATATGCACTTGTCCTTTTAGTCCTCGGGGCGAAATGTGTATGCAGCCCGAGTTGAAATGAATAGTCCTCGCGAGAGATGAATATTCGACGTACCGACAGAAGCTACTTATGACAGACTCATGGAACCAGCTTGAGCTCTACATATACCTCCTAGGTCGCTTGCTCAATGATTTAATCCCTCCCACACATTGAGTCGACGACAGTAATTGAAAGGTTCAATCGGGGAGTCATGAGGGGAAAGGGAGAAGTAGGAAGTTGTGGTAATGGCACCTTCGACGAATAAATCTCGTATACGAAGACGGGGGAGGTCATGAGTGACTCTATGAGGAGTCCTCTGGAGAGGTAGGATGACTGTTGATTTATTATGGTGGAGATCAGGAAAAAGATAAATGATCTATTTAGGAGGTTCTCCCGCGAATAAAGATATGGATGGTAGTCAGCAAAATTAGGCCGAATAGACAGCTTTTGAAGGGCAGGCCTAGAAATGCAATTTAATGCGCAAAGACCTTGTTATCGATTCCGGTGAACCATTTCGCAAGTGCAGGTCCCTCATAATGTCAAGTAGAATAAGGGCTGCTGCAATGAAAATAGCCACCTGGGTTCAGTAGATTGGATAGGTCAATTTCGACTATATCTAAATTCTGAGGAGGAACGGATCCGATATTCCTAGGCATATCAAATATTATCTTTGAGAGAGTGAAAGGCAACGGGTTCCATCGGCCCGGGAACGTCGGTTGAATAACGACAACGATGTCCTCTGTTCCACAGATCCCCGTCTCAACAACCCCGAACTATTACCCTCAAGCATATTATACCACTGCTACATCAACTGCGAACCCAGCCACGTCGGCAGCGACCCATTACACGCCCTCAGCAACAGCTGCTCAATATCTTGCTTATTATACCAACAATGCTTCGAATCCCATTCCTGGTTCTAATCCATATGGCTCCTACACAAATCAAAGCGCATATTCATTCTCTTCGGCTGCTCCCTCGTATGGCCTAGGACTGGCTGGAATACCAGGCGCAACGAGCACTGCAGCAATGGGTACTGCTTCCAATTCTACAAGCGGAACAGGAACACACAAAAATCCTACTGGGACTCTGCGCCCTTCGTCTCCTGCTGCGCCGGCAGTAACTGCTCATGAAGCAAGTCAGGTTGTGCAGAGACTAGCTGTGAGTGAATTGAAGAATGCAGGGTTCAGTGGTGCGAAGCCAGAGGCGTTGTACGTTCTCGAGCAAGAGGTTGTTGGATGTGAGTAGGCTCTGGCTCCTTACTCCAGCTGCACACAGCTTAAATCATTCTTTCATCTCAGTTGTCCAATCCCTGTACACTCTCGCACATGAATACTCCAACCTTGCGAACAGATCAGGGCCAATTGCCACCGATCTGCTTCTCGCGACTGAAGAGCTTGATAGGGACTGGGCGTATGAACTAGGTCCGGAAAAGCTAGCCAAATGGCTCCGGAGAAGAGAGCGGAGAAAGGCGAAAAAGGACGCAAAGGGAAAAGGAAAACCTACGGCAGAAGAAAAGGCATATTCAAGCACACCATCACTTTCCCCACATCCTGCACGTTCACCTACACCAGAATTATTGCAGTCTGACGACGATATGGACCTGGACGATGTCGTTCCTACAGCCTCAATTCCAGCCCCAGTTCAGCAGACGCACCAGGTATCCCAAATACCGCCAATGGCGCATCCAAGTCACCTTTCGCTTGCTCCTCCGTCGTTGACCCTCATTCCGGCCGCTACGACTCCTGGTACTAATACGAAACTCCGTACAATGCCAGCTTCCACGCTTCGCAATCTCCCAGGGAATCTCCCTGGGTTGCCTCCAAAACACACATATCTGCAAACGCCAGTAAGTGTTTGCGCGTTATTATTTTTTTTTCCCTGGTAAATCATCACTGACTACTACATCGCTCCTTCCTTTTGTTTCACGTTTGGTTGCACAAGGCTACACCGCGTCGTACCATTTCTCAACCATCAAACTCCTCCTCCGACCCCACTCCGCCTAAATCACAAAATCAACTTCAAATGGAAAAGAAACTTCGTACAGCTGCCTTGGTTCAGGAATCTCTCAAGAACTTGCTTTTGGCGACGGAATACACGGAGGACCCAGAGTTTGACTCGGGAGGGATGAATGTGGCGACAGCGAGAGAGAATGCAGAGCTGTTAGGACATATTGTCAATTGGGAAAGCACAATGGGGATGGCGGGAGGTGTTGGAAGGAAGAGGTGGAGAGTTTGAAGTGATTTGTTCTAGTCGTTGTATATTCTCTGGTTTTTTTAAAAATGACCTGCGGGCCTTTGGTGTGGCGGGAGGATTTACCGCAGCGACGATGGACAGCTGTGAGCGCTCCGGCCGTTCAACTGTTTGGAGTAAGATGTCTGTGTGGTGTGTATGTAGTGTACTACATTTATTAATTACAGAAAAAAAAACGAAGCAATTTGATTATTCATCGTATGCATTAAGAGGGAATCGAACCCCCGGCGGGTCGAGAGGAAATATGGCAACGACCCAGGTTACCACTACCCCATTAATGCCGGTAGCTGGACAACAGAAAACATACCGAGTTCCTGGAAACATCCGCTTGATATCTATAGCTTCAGTCTTTTATCTTTTATCTTTGACCTCAGTCTCAACGTTCGTCCCAGGCTCAACGATAAACGATCAACCGACGCTCGCTATAGACGATAATCAACGCTGCCCTCGATATCCTTGACGCGAATCGTGATAACATTTATCTTTATCATCGCAGTAAGGTTTCTCAGCATCCGTTTATCAGCACCCTTTTCATCTTCATCACACCGCTCTGCTGATCCCGTAACTGTTTATAGGATTTAGAAGAAGAAGAAAGGAGAATAATGGTTGTTAATTCAGAACCGACTCGTATATCAGCCCAGTCCCCCTCCCACCCAGCTCGACCTCTCATCGTCGGTCCTTCATCCCCCTCTCCTCCTTACCCAATCCGTTTACGAGGAAAAGTATGCAAAGGTTTCGGAAGAGGTGGAAAGGATTTAGGATGTCCCACTGCTAATTTACCTGATGATAATGCTGGTGTTCAAGCGATGCGAGGAAAAGTAGATACGGGTGTGTTTTATGGGTTTGCGAGGGTTATTCCACCTACACAACTTGATCCCGACGACTCCGACCTGAACTCCTCCTCCAACCTCGACCCAAACTCCTCCCTCTCCCCCCTCTCCCCTACATCCTACCTCGTCTACCCAATGGTAATGTCCCTCGGCCTAAACCCCTTCTACAAAAACAGCGACCTAACAGCCGAAATCCACATCCTCCACCAATTCGACAATGATTTCTACAATTTCGATATCAAGGTCTTGGTTTTAGGTTATATTAGACCTGAATTGGATTATGTTAGTAGGGAGGCTTTGGTTCAGGATATTGATATTGACAAAATCGTGGCTAGGCGGTGTTTAGAGAGAGAGGCGTATACCGCGTTTAGTCGGGATAGGTTTTTTTGGGAGTGATGGTGATTCCTCTTTTTTTGAACCAGAGATTCAAGTTGGTTTTGATGTTTTTCTTTTTCTTTCTTTTCTCTCGATTGTTCATTTACTACACGGTCTTTCCTATACATAAATAAATATTGTTCACATTTTCATTCACCATCTAACTCCCAACTCCTGATGCAGCTCAAACGTTAAACATTGAAAATAGTTACATTCTCCTCTTACGTGGATCCCAAGATTCTATCAAAATGGTTTTGAGGGTGGTCAATGGAGGGATTGGCAAGTGCCCATTATAATAGTAAATTCAAAGTAAGTACAATTATCTTCTAAAAAACCCAACTGGTGCTCAATGCATCCTTAGCCACTGTGGGTTGGTTCTAAGCATGTTTTGTTTGACATGATGTTCCACACTACTTAAAGGTAAGCACTTGTTGATAATTCAATTCCAAGCTACACAAACTATCAGGTTTGATTTAGGGACAGCGGTGCAGGAAATTATGGGCAGGATGAAATTGATGAATACATCAAAGTGCATAAATGTGTCAACTATTGTAGACTATCGATTAGGTAGTGATTTTGATATAGAAGAGGAGGAAGAGTCTTAATTAGGGTACAATCCTGGGCCCCATGAATTGATCTTCAATTTATTTTGCGAACAATATTTACTGGTAGTTTTTTTTTGCCACTGTATTAACCCAACCCATCAACAAGTTAAAACAATGCCGGAACAAACCCGCTGGACTGAAAATCAAAAATCAAAAATCAAAAAAAAAAAAAATTTAACCGTGCCCTTCTCAACTGCGTTACAGTAGGGTACAGGGCTAAATTTAAAAAAAATACAGACACTGGAACTGAGAAAACAAAAACAGGAAAAGGACGGAATTTTTCATCCGACGGAACTGGAATGCATGATCAAATTTTCGAAAATCAGCTTTGCCCCCCAAGTGCGCTAGGCAATTGTCAGCGAGCAGCTAACTTTGAACCTAGCTATCCTATTGTAGTTGCTGAAAGTGTGATAAGATTTGTGCGCAGGCTAGAAAGGACCTTAGCCAAGCAAGGTAAAAAGCACACGCTGAGTGAGGCAGGAGTGAGTGCCCACGCTAGGCCCACACATATTCAGGCAGTTCAAGTTGACTGCAAGTTCTGTTCACCGGTACATAAACAAGCTCATTGTAACCCCCATACTTGGCATACTTACTGTATGTCTATCTGAATCCTTACGCCAGACCTACAGAAGACACATTGACCCCTTCAAATTTCGAATTATCTTCATAGGAGAACGGTATATCCCTCCTTAAGCCATGCCTACCCATAAGACTCAACCCTAGATCACAGACGGACATGTCTTATCCAAGCAACCTTGACTATACGTGGGCTACAGCTGCTGTCGAAGATATCCAGAAAGAAGTCGGTACAGACCCTGTCAAAGTAAGAAAGGAAGAAGGGCAGGAGGATTTACTTCACTTCGCTGAAGCTGTCACGGATTTGAATGTTGCTACCAAGGTTCGCATTCGGTGAGCATTCATTGTAATACAGAGCCATAATGTTTCACACAGGTGGAGGTATAGTTGGGCAAGCAGATCCTGATCCCAAGCCCCATTGGTCTGCAGTTTATAAGGATTGCAACAGTAAGAACATCCCGACCACAGTTACTCTAGCTGATGGAACTCCTCACCCTACAACCACATGGCATGTTCCTGCTACTAAATAGTCACTAGGCTCTTAGTGTAAAACTGCATGCATACATACACTGCCACCCAAGTCACCATGTTGAAGCGAATCGGGGATCTGAATCCTTGTATGGTATACGGTGTATGCTATGGGCGGTTTGTGTATTTTGTGTATGTACACTGATATGCCAAAAGATAAGATAAATACTACTACTGTATAGGTAACTTGCGATCAAGCGCCTCCATCCTCTTTCCCTTCAGGTCTCTGTCAGGACTGTGAAGTTTCTATTCGTTATTCACTCACACCGGTTCCCTCGCTGTATTTTTCATTCGTTTAATCATCCATCCATGGTCCATATACTAAGATTCCAACTGGACTGGAAGGGAAATTGGAAATGTGGAGGTGGTCATTCGATATTCTTTTGATTTTCCCACGTCTCTATCGCCTAAGCAGCTATCTGTCACATGTCACGCTTACTCATTCTCTAACCCATGCTCGATTTTAGCAATAAAATCCAAACCCAACAACTTTCAAAGGAACAAGGTTTTGGATTCTATCTTCCTCATCCGAACCAGAAACTTCATTCTGCTAGATACGAGGTGAAGAGGTTACTTGGCCTAGGGACAGCATCTTCTGTATTTCTGTGTATCGATTTACAGTACGTTTATGTTTTGTTTTTATCCTTTATGATAATATCGAACTGCATCTTGTTATTCCCACCCAATCGTATAGAGCCTCCGCAAGAACATACGTTGCTGTCAAGATATTAACGGCAGATGCGACTGAAGGCAACGTGCAAGGTGTTCTTCGAGAAGCAGACATCATGCAAGCCATCGCGGGCCTTCCAGACAATGATCCTCTTTCTATACTATTGAACAAGTTTCAAATCAATGGACCTCATGGACGACATATTTGTCTAGTCATGTATCCAATGAGCACTGATCTGAATACTTTCCGGACGACTGCTCCGAATATGGCTCTTCCTGTCCATACTGTCAAACTCGTTATAGCGGAAATGCTGGAGGGATTGAAAATTCTTCATGAAGCAGACATTATTCATACAGGTTAGCATGTTTCTTACGATGACTTGATCGATTCTTAAGATTTCTTTCTCTAACTCACCAATTCAAAAATGTTAGACGTCAAATGCGACAATGTGCTCTTTGATGGTCCCGACAATAATATCATAGAGTTTGAGCTAGCAGAACGACCACCAGTAATCGAGGATGAAATCTCATTGAATGGAAAAAAGTATCCTATCATGCGACCGCAGCCTTTGCCTCATCAACACAAGTGGGATGATTCCCCGTTCTTGGTCGAGCTTTACGCCGTGTATCTCACTGACTTCTCACATGGTATGAATCATCCCAGGGGTTTGTGCCCTCGATCCTCATTGCTTTTCCTTTAGCTATTTGGTCAAACCAGAAAAGACAGGTGCCTTTTGTAGGATCTGAAAGCCTTCGAGCACCTGAAGTCATCCTCCAAGCTGGGTATGATATTGGAGTAGATATATGGGCTATTGGATGCTCGGTTGAGTGATTTATATTATCATCTTTAGGACAATCACGCTCATCTCAAGTTTTTCACGGTTCAGACATTTGAAATGCTTACTGGTCGTTGGCTATTCAAACCCGACGTAGAGGAGGGGGATCCTTGGACAGTCGAAGATGATGGAAGTAACCGGAGAACGATTCAGTCCTGACGTCCTTGCCCGTTCAACTCGACGCGATCACTTCTTTGATAATCAAGGTGTGAAAGACTGGTGTACAATCTTTCGCAATCACAATCTCTCATCTCATTTACTTAGGCAAACTCAAATGGATAGACAATCTTGTACCTGTGAAACTAGAGGATGCTCTCAAGAATTATGGAACAATATCAGCTGAGGAAGCTGTCGAAGCCGCAAAGTTCATCACTGAGTGCTTGCGAATGGATCCGATGGAGAGATGGACTGCGGAGAGATTGCTTCGACATCCTTGGATGTATCGTGGTCCGCCTCCGAGCTGCGCTGGAGCCAAATGGGCCGAAGCTACATGACATACTCTTCTTTCGTGGGAGACATGAAAGCGTTGTTTCACTATAATAAAATCAGGTCTGTTTTGATTCCTGAATCAGGAAGCAATTCACGTTTCATTTTGTCTCCCAATTTTGATCAATATTATCTTGTTCAACCTGTACGGAATAGTATCCAGACAAACAACTACGTATATCTTCTACGTCTCTGTTTGGCTATTTTCGGCTATCTGATTTCAAACACCTAGAATAATAGTATTGGTTTAGAAGGCCCTAGGTGAAGGAGTAAGAAAACCTGTGGCGAGAAAGGAGTACAGCAGGAGTAAAGGATGCAATGAATAACAAAAACAAGTTCGAAGACACAATACAGCGAGGCACAGTGTAGTAAAAAT